TAAACATTTTCAGGCTTACAAGGGGTGAAAAACTATGTTTCTGGAAAAATCCTCAAGAGAACATAATAGTAATCACTAAAAACATAAGTGTGACCCATGTCCCCAAAAGACATGTAAAAGAATGTCCTTGGAGGATAGTTTTAAGAAAAAAAAACTGGGTATATCTCAGCAGTCACTTGATAATAAATGTACATCCACACAGTGGAACAAAATCCAGCAGCTCAAAGAGAATGAACAGCAACTAGGATGAATCATAAAAGCAGTAAGTTAAAGATCCAGATCAGGAAAAACGAGTTAATGGAGATGATCAAGATGACGGTCACTATCTCTTTGTCACTGTCCAGGAAGTGGTATAAGGGTTTTGGAAATGGTAGAGTTTTAACCTTTGTGATGGATACATAGGTATTTATGTAGACAAGAATCCATTGTTCTGAAACATTAGAAATTTATGCCTGTCACCATATATATCATACTTCTATTTATTTTTTGTTCACTTATTTATTTATAGCCTCTTGCTATGTAACCCAGGCTGACCTCAAACTTGCAATCCTCGTGCCTCAGCATTCCAGCTTCTGGGATTACAGGTGTGTGACACCAGGCCCAGCTTATATTTCAACTAAAAACATTTAACACTAGATGTCAGGTGATGGGAGAAAGGGTCCACGCTGCAGTTTTAAAGACTCAAGCCAAAAACAAAGACAAAAATGGACCCTCTATTATTGTTGCATGAGTCAGGAGGTTTTCTTACACTGACTAAGCCATCAGAGAATACTTCATTCATGTCTCACAGTCAGATTTAGAGTAAGTATGGTCCAGCAGTTGAACAGTACCTCCAAATACTCAGTTTCCTTCCATCATTCCACTCAGCTGTCTCAATGTTGGTTATTCTTTAATTGGCTCCCCTTGACAGCAACTTAGCAAACAACAGAGATGGAATGTGCTTCCTCAGTTTCTGTCAAGACACTTCACTTTGCTGTCTGTATTCATTTTCTATGGCAGCTGTAACAGATTACTACACATTTTGTGTCTAAAAACAAGAGGTAAAATAAATCTTAAGACACATTTGGTGTTGCGGTTCTAGAAGCCGTAAGAAATCAGTATCACTGATTAACACTGAGGAGGGCTTGCTCCCCCTGAGGCTCCAAGAGGGAACGCATTCCCTGCCACTTCCAGCTGTGTAGTTGTCGTTCTTTGGCTATGGCTGCAAAACTCCAATCTTTGGAGATCTGGTCACATGACCTCCTTTTCTGTATTTATATAGTCAGATCTCTCTGCCTCCATCTTATAAAGATGTGATTCCATGTATAATCTAGGACAGCCTCCCCATCACAAGATCTTTATATAAAGATCACTTTTATATTATAGGGTAACAGAACAGTCACTGATTCCAGGGATTAGGACCTGATCTGTTTGAGAACCATTCCCAGTCTACCATACTCTCAATCCTTAATCAAAATCTCAAGCTTCACTCCCACTTTACTTTCATTACTTCTACTCAATCACCATGGATAGAATACCTTGCACTAATTGGCTTGGATAGAGCACTTACATGTTCCTGGACTAATCACTGTGGCAATAAGAATAGGATAAGGCCATGTGACAATAGCCCACTAAGGACCATCTACTGGGGTGGGGATTGACAGGCAACCTCATTCATGGCTTCCCCAAAGGGTGCCTGGAACATTCATGGGGAGTGAGAAGGCCTTACACATGAACCCTGAAGAATTCCCTTCCTCTTCTTTATAAAAATCCTTTGAAATGCCTGATTACTTCCTAAATACAAGGAAAAGCTTTCACTTTCCCCCTTATACTCCATGGAAAGCCACATTTCCTTTCTAGCACTCCCAATAAACTAGGGTCCCCATCACCTGGCTGCTCTCTGATAATGAGACTTCATTAAGTTCCAGATTTCTGCTGACAGCAAGTTCTAGCATCAGGTGCCCTCAGATTTGGCTTGTGGTCTCAACTTGAGGGGAAACTTCTGAGACACAATGAGCTTCACCCAAGCTGATCTTTAGTCAACAATGGTTAGCATGCTACCCTCCTTTAGTGCAGCAGAGTGCGGCTTCCCTATGGATGTCAAAATGCTGGCCACTCTATGGATATGTGTATCCATTCTGGCTAATGGGGTCTGAGGAAGTGTACAACAGAGATGGGTTCTGAAAATGCTTTATACCTTCCCGGGAATAGGCAGAATAATGCCCCCTCCTTCCTCCAAAAATCATCCTAATCTCCAGAGAAACATCCATGTCTGTCACCCTCACATGGCAAAAGGGAGTTTACAGGGTCTTGAGATGGGGAGATTATCCTGGATTACTTATAACAGGCCCAATGTTATAACAAGAGTCCTGTATAACAGGAGGCAAAAGTCAGAGTTCGATATTGGAAAATGTTACCCTGCTGGATTCAAAGAAAAAGAGATCATGAGCCTCTAAGAAGCTGAAAAAGGCAGTGAAATAGATTCTCTCCTAAATCCCCCAGAAGAAATGCCATCATGCTGACACCTTGATTTTAGATCAGAAAACAAGTTTTTTGTTTGTTTTTGCAGTACTGAGGTTTGAATTCTGGGTTTCAAACTTGCTAGGCAGCCGCTGTACCAGCCCTTTATTGTGTTGGGTGTTTTCAAAATAGGATCTCCCAAACTATTTGCTTGGTCTGGCTTTAAACAGCGATGCTCCTGATCCCACCTGCCCAAGCAGCTAACATTACAGGTGTGATCCACTGGTGCCCAGTCTGGTACTTAAGATTTTCAACAAGGAATTTGAGCTCTGTATTATATCCCTCTAAAAAGATAAAGGATGCATAACATTTTTTTTATATTTTACATGTGTATTAATAATTGTTCAGAAATCATGCTTTCTCAAACAAATTACACTAAATACCATGCTCATTTTATGCAGTTATAAAGTTACTCTAAGATGACTTTCATAATATGCTCACTTAAAACTTTTAGCCAAAAAATCCTATTTTTATCCTGCACAATACAAACAAATTAAAATCACTTCCACGTGGACTTCCTTCCTTGAAATGTTAAAGCCCTCCACCAAGCTTGAGGGTGAATGACTAGTTGAATCACCACTCACATTCAAAACAAGAATGTTAGTAAACATTCCTAACATGATGCTGTCATGTAATAGCCTGTAAGCGTAGCCACAACTATACAGCATTATTTTCAAAGTATGAAAAAGGAAGAGACAAAATTACTTATTCAACAGGGATGGTATTCCATCCATAATAGCCAAGAAAATACTAGCAGTATAAGAGGCCCTTGTTCAATGAGTAAAAATTAATATGTAAAGATGAACAGATTACTAATTGTAACAACAATCAGGATTAACAATATGTAATTTGAGTGAATCCTTTACACCATGCCCATAAAAATGAACACCCTTCTGGAACCAGGTTAGCAGGCAGTGACCAGATCACAAGGAGGTACAGGACTGCTGAGATTTTATCTGGAAACACCAAAGAAATGGAGAGTATATTAGGCCCTCAGCCTGATGAAGATAGATCGGTGAGTTCTGAGCCTAAAGAAGCAATAATGTAGTAAAGTTTGGGCACCAAGTAAGACAAGACCACACCAGGCCCTGGGCTTGAAAGAAGACCGAGTGGAGGAATGGATCAAGTGGTAAAGCACCTGCCTAGCAAGTGTGAGGTCCTGAGTTCAAACCCCAGTAACCGCAAAAAAACAAAACAAAACACATCAGGACCTGGGACCCAAGAAAGTCAAGATAATTGGCAAGAGAACACCAGATAGCGGTGAGGAAGACAGAATACTTTCTTGTTCTGTACTGCCAAGGAAGATGAGCAGGTATCAAGTTCTCATCAGTGGATGATTTCAACTTCTCTTTCCTGGACATGGGCATGTCAGCCCTCAAAAGCAAATTGATCAAAGGACACTGGGTGGGATGGAAGTGACTCAAAAATACTGGTAGAGGATCCTGCCTAGGCCACTCCTCCTCCCCTATCCTGGGGTACAATCAGCCCTGCTTCTCTCTCCAAACCTTCAGCCTCCCTGTGATTTGGAGAAAACTGAATCCCTTCTGCCCTCCACCACTAGGGTGGACGTTTTACCTCACCCCCTGCATACTTCCAGTCCACCAAGCATACTCATCTGCCAAACTCAGTACGGACATTTAGCTCCGCCCACTCTGCACATCCGGACTTGCCCACTCGCCCGTCTTCGCCCAGAAACGTGGGCTGACCTTTAGTTCCGAGTCTTGTATAGTTCCTGCCCTACCACCTCTGCCCTTTCTCCCTGCCCGTTGGACGTGGGCGACCTTTAGCTCCTCCTCCTCGGGTAACTAGGGTGGACTTTGGTTCCGCCTCTCACACGCTTTCCACCCTCACGGTCCCCGCCCCACTCGTCTAAAACTGAGTACTCAGCCAGCTAGTCCCGCCCGCGCAGTTCCCGCCCTGTCCGCCCTTCCTGCTTCCCCAAAGCCACGCCCTCCACCTGGCCTAACGCACTCCTGCACTACCAGTTATCCTTTCCCTTCAACTTCCGGTCCGTCCAACGACTCTCTTCCGGTCAGGGTCGCTGCCCACGGAAGTCCTGGGACCCCCAACGCCTACTATCCTTCGCTAGAAACCTTCCCCTGATCCACCGGACGCCGACGAAAGCACACTTCTTGTAGACCTCGGTTTCGCCCACCACCCAGACAGGCGAGTCAACATGGCCACCGCTTGGGTGCGGCCGCTTGGGGCGCGCCGCGGGGGCGTCTGGGAGTTGTAGTCCAGTGTGAAGCGCTGACGCACTTCGCCGCGGATCGACGGGCGCCATTGCTCGGCGCGCGCTGGGTGAGTGTGGCGCGAATGTCGCTTACGTCGGGGGTGGGTGCACCTAGGGGCCCAGAGCCGCCTTTGCCTGTAGTCCTACTGCCACGGAACCGGGAAGGGGTGGTGTGTTCATGGACCCAGAACCCGAGAGAGACAACGTGTTACGGGCGTGGTGCGGGGGTGGAGAGAGCCGACGACCGCGGAAATTGGGGAAAGTTGGAAGAGGGTTTCGTCTCTTCTTGGTTAGGGGTGGGCCCGATCCTCTCGGTGTTGGGGGGGGGGGAGACGACTGGCTGGGTGTTTTCCGATGTGGGGGTGAACTTGTCACGTCCGCTGAAGGAGTACTTTTGGGCAGAGGCGGGGGAGCCCTTCCTGTCCCCTCCCAACTTCGGTTTTTCTCAGGATTCTGCCCACTCAGGAGAAAGACTTTGAGAAGAAAAGTATGGCCTCCAGGTTTCCGAAGGCCTGGTCCTGTGTGAGTAGAGGCGGCTTTCAGCCCCCGAGGGGGGGCGGCTGGTAGTGGGACACTACCTTCTCTCAACTGCCCACCAAGCCCCTGGTGCACCCCAGGAAGGGAGAGCCGGCCAGGGCAGGAGAGACCCTGCCTAAGAGGAACTGCTTCGCTTTCCAAAAAAGGGCGATGCTTAAAAAAGAGGCTAAATTGTGGGGGATTCTGAGGGTCAGGTTGAGGCTCCTCGAGTATCCTTTAAGCTGGGGGGAAGGAATTGACAAGTTTTAAGCAGGTATCAGGTCATGATTAGGTTTTATCAACCAGAAGGTAGCATGGAGGCTGCAGGTGTGGCTCAAGCAATGCCTAGCAAGTATGAATCTCTGAGTTCAACCCCAGTATCGCCAAAAAATAAAATAAAAAGTAACAGTTGAATAGACTAACAGAAAAAAGTTGGAGATGGATCCCCTGGTAATTTAATGATGTAAAAACCAACAGCGGCCACAAGGTGGGGCAGAACGCTTGGGTGTGCTGAATCAGCCCAGGGACTTCCCCAGGAGGCATACATACCAACCTCAGAGTCACGTCCCCATATTATTAAATGGACAGGTTTTCATAGACCAGAGGTCTCAATTGTCCTTCTTACTGTGACCTAAATTGGGTCAGGCTTGGATTTGCTCAAGGCAAAGACAAAGATGAGGCAGTCCTCTCAGATTATTTTGGTCAGTCTCCTCTCCCTGTCACCATGAAGGAGTATCTGCTCTGGCTGAACAGGATCCTGTGGGTTTTAGGAACCAGTGACCTTTGAAGATATTGCATTGACTTTTACCCCAGAAGAGTGGGAACTGCTGGATCTCCCACAGAAGTCCCTATACAGGGAAGCGATGCTGGAGAACTATAGGAGCCTGGTCTCAGTGGGTAAGGCTGCCCTTCATGTCAGTAAAAATCTGTGCTTTGGGTGGGTGTAGCAGCATACTCCTGTGATCCCAGCACGGGGGAAGTAGTGCAAATTCCAGGCCAGCCTGGTCAGAGTGAGACCCTATCTCAAAAAAAAAAAAAAAAAAGAGAAGAAAACCTCTGCTTTGTCATCGAATGTGGTGCATATGCAGTGTGTGTCTGCTTGGGTTCAGGCTGCAGGGATTAGAGTGGAAGTGTTAAGACCCTGGGAGTCTGAGAAAGAGTGCTTTTCTTTATACTCACAGGAGAAAGGCACCTTCACTATGACTTCTGAAGCTTCACCCAGTCCCTACCTCAGAGCCTCTGAATACCACAGAGAGTCTGTCATGGTTGTTTTCACCTGCAGTACTGGATGTTGTTGTTTTTGTAGCAGTTCCAGGTGACATGTCTGTCCAACAGCTCATGAGTATCATCAAAGATCCTGATCCCTTCCATCTCTTGTTCTTTAGAACCTTTCTGTCTTCTGGCTGGTTATTGCTTCTGTCTGCTCAAAGCAGAAACAAGCAAAGGGGACACTCTTGACCAGCTCTTTCACAGCTGTCACATTTACCAAGAAAGCAAAAGCTTTCCTAGAAGGTCCCTCAACTGACCAGTCTCCCTTTGTGTCTTGCTGGCCAGAAAGACCTCTCCCCTCCCCACTTCTAATGGCAAGAGAATTCAAGAAGTCTGACAAAAAGGGATGAATATGGTGGTTGTCACTGACCTAGTCCCAGAGTCATGTCATGCCCTATCAGGGAAGAAGTCAGGGACAGTGTGTTATAACAAGACAGTGTTTTCTCTGGACACAGACTCCCCAAGCCCTATCTCTTTTCCCTTGAGCAGAACTTCAGCTTTCCAAACCAGATGTGGTATCTCAATTAGAGGAGGCAGAAGACTTCTGGCCGATGGAGAGAAAAAGTCTTCAAGATACTTTTGCAGGTGAGAACCAAGCATGTGGGAATTCCCACAGGGGATGGGCTAACTGGTTAGTCAGAGACTGGTGTCTTAGAAAAGAGTGGTGAGTGTGATAACCCAGGTGAAGTGCTATGATGACAATAACTCCCAGCTTTTCTTCTGGCTTCAATCAGTGATGTGCTTGGTTGGAAGTTACCTGTTGCTAGTGGCAGAAGGTTTACATGTTTGCAACAGAGGTTCCAATTCTGCACTCTTCTGCTTTCTCCTTATGCAGTCACTTACAATCTATGTGTGTCTCCAGCCAGACTCCTTTTTTTATATCTGTTTACATGTGTGTATGTAAATATACATACTCAATATAGACAGGTCCAAATCGTACATTTTAATAGCTTCAATGTAACCCACATTTGATTTTTTCCTGTCTTTTTTTTTTTTTTTTTTGCAGTACTGGTGTTTGAACTTAGGACCTCACGCTTGCTTGGCAGGTGCACTACCACTTGAACCATTCCACCAGCCCAGATTTTTTCTGTCTTGTTCGATATTCAAATTACTGCAGAGAACTTCCTTGTATACATTTTTCTGCAAATAACCAATTGGATTTTCTGTAGATTGAATTTCTAGAAATAGAATCAACCAAGATGTAAGCTAAAAATCTAGCACCAACAAAGAACTCTCTAACTCCTTTAAAATACATGTAGCTATTTGAATACATAAGAGCTCTTTTCTCTTTCATCATCAGCAATTTGTATTGCACTCCCCCCCCCTTTTTTTTTTTGGCAGTACTTTGGTTTGAACTCAGAGCTCACTCTCACACTTGCTAGGCAGGCACTTCACCACTTGAACCACCTCCCCAGCCCTTTTTCGTGTTGCGTATTTTCTTGATATCTCTCGCAAATGGAGACTGTGATCCTCCTGATCTTTGTCTCTGGAGTAGCTAGTATTACAGATATGAGTCACCAGTGCTTGGCTATAATGACCTTTTTAAAATTTGCATATCTGATGGGCAAAAGGGAGTATGTTCAGTTTAGCTCACATTTTTTTCATAACTGACAAAATGGACCATTTTGCTGTGTTGTGGTATGCAGTTTTGTGGTGTTGGGGACTGAACCCAGGGCCTCACGCTTGCTAGGCAAGTCCTCTACACCCCTAGGCATTTGTAATTTTTGTGTGTGCGTGTGAATTCATATATTTTCCCTGCTGTTGTGCTGTGGATCTGTTTTTATATTTGTGGGTATACTATTTTGGATGTTAATATTGAAATGATGTGTCTCAGACCAACATTTATCTTCTATTTTTATCAGTCTTTATATAGAGATTTTTTTTGTTTTGGGTTTTTTCTTTTATGGGGGGTAGGTGTACTTGGGTTTGAACTCAGGGCCTTGAACTTGCAAGGCAGGCACTCTTATTACTTGAACAATGTCCATAGGCCTCAGAAGTTTTATAGTTTAAAGATATTTTTCTTTTCAAGTCTGTCTTTATTTATATTTTGGTGATGCTGGTGATTGAACTGAGGGCCTTGCACATGCTAAGCAGACATTTTACTTTAGTTTTTTTTTTCGGTACTGTGGTTTGAACTCAGGGCCTACATCTTGAGCCACTCCACCAGCCCTTTTTTTGAGATGGGTTTTTTCAAGATAGGGTCTCACTAACTATTTGCCCAGGTTGGTTTTGAACCGAGATCATCCTGATCTCTGCCTCCTGAGTAGCTAGGGTTACAGGCATGACCCCTGACTACTTTAGTTATTTTTGAGATAGGGTTTTGCTTTATGCCTATCCTGGACTAAGATCCTTGTATTTATGTTCCAGCTCCCCACCCCCCCACACACACAGCTGGGTTGACAGGTGTGCCTATAATGCCCACCTATTGAGATCGGGCCTCATCAGCTGACCTGGAGCCTCCGTCCTCTCATTCTCCACCTTCCAGTAGGTTTCAGGCTTGAGCCATTGTGCCTAAATCCCGTTTTTTGGGGGTTTTTTTCATTATTATGTAGGCACATTGTCAAAATATTTTCATGTATTCAAGCATTTTTATATTTGTTTTTCACTTGGTGCAGTTTACCTGGAGTTTCCTCTTACGTGTGATGTGGGACACAAGTTCTTTTACCACTACATTCTGAGTTCTGTTTATTGGAAGCACCATCTTTGTGTGAACTAAATATCCTTTGGTGATAGTGCACAGACCGCTTTCTGGATTTTCCTTTGCTCTTCTTTGATCTTTCTGTCTAAGGATCATCATATCACTCTTGATCTTTCTGTCTAAGGATCATCATATCACTCTAATTGTTTTGCTTTATTATGAGCTTGGATAAACGTTAGTCCCCTACAGTTAAAATAAATTCTTAGATGGCTTTTCCAATCTTGCTCTCCAAGTCCACACTTACCATCAGCTTCTCTGGATTGAGGAAAGCCTGTCAGAGTAAACATTACATATACACTATTGCTGTTCTCTTATCTGGTTTATTCTGTCGCAAATCTTGCACAGTTGTTCCAGAGGCAAAATTTTCTTATTTGTAACAATTGTGTTAGGTTTTCATTAAATTTCCTGGTACAAAGTCACTAGCAAGTATAAAGTAGGAGGCAGTTATATTAATTTCTTAATTCCTTTGGACAGCCATCATTACTTCTAAAGCATATTGAATATGAAGAGTGTGTGTCTGGTCTGACTTAAATGAGAAAGTTTCTTGGTTTTGATGAGCATGATGCTGGATTCTGCTTTGTTTCATATCATTTCTTATTTAGATGAAGAAATAGTCATTTAGCCCTTTCTAATGAGTGAAAATAAGGAACACTCCCATTTTCCCTTCCAGAGCCTTCCAAGGTAGTCATAGTATTTTCACCTTTGAATAATTCAAATGGTGATATGGTAGATGCAGAAATGCCTTGTTTTAATGTTCTGCTAGAGCCCAATGACTAATTTTGTGTCAACATTCACAAAATAGGTTAGGAAGGTAGATTTATTTTTGTCTTTGCCCTCTTTATTAACTCTTCTATCAGTGTGTCGGCTATAAAGCATACTAGATGCTTCTGCTTTACCTTGGTCTCTGCTCTGGTAAGTGACATTGCAGCCACCCTCTTCTGGCAGTGTTCAGCTGTGAAATCTCCACCTGGTACCTGTCTTTGATGATGACCTGTTTGTGACATCATGCAGGGAGTGGAGTCTGTGACTGTGCCACCTTTTTTGTACCCAATTTCTGCTTTCTCCACATTACAGCTTGATGTTGTTTCCTGATTTTCTTTTCTATGTTCAGAGCCCTCCTTCCCATTCCCTTCTTTGGAAATCTTTCTGTCAACATAGGTCATGAAATCATACCTTCCCTGCAAGACACCCAACAGTGCAAGCACTGTGTGTCTGCCTATGGTGGTTTCTACCCCACTATTCCAATCTACCCATGTCCCTTCTTTTCTTTATGATCTGAATGTTATCTGTCTTTGACAGCTTTATGTCTCATCCTCTCTTGAGCTCAAGTACCAGTCCCACATGGGCAAACCTCTGGGACATGCACCTCTTCATAACCTTGTAGTTCCCTGAATGTAGTGCAGGGATTGAGGAGTTGTGGCCTGTGGACACCTATGGTTCTGTACATCTGAGGTGCGCTGGCCTCACAGGACAGAAGAAGGGTGGAGTATGTGGGCCAGAAACTATATGAAGGGAGGCTGACCAGGAAGTTATCTCAGAGGCTGGCCCTGAGGTGATGGGATCATCTCCCCTCTATCCTTTATGAAAGTCCTTTATGAGAGGTCTTCCTTCCCCTAACTTCTTTTCTCACACTTCACAAATATTTACCAAGAATCTCTTCTGTCTCATGCAGTGTACTAAAAAGTTGGGCAGTAAACGAAAACCCTAGCATAATCCCTGTTGCCATAGATCTCAGAGTCTAATAGCTTATTGCCTACAAACAGGTCATGCACATGCAGTGATATTTATGGAGGAACTGAGAAGAGCATGGTTAAATGGGGTGTGGGGGTGAAGAATTGCTCTAGGAAAAATAGTGGGGGCACTGTGGGGGTGAGATGGTGCAGATTCCTTAAGACAGGAAAGTCTGTAAACGTTAAGAGTGGTGCTGAGAATAGCTTCTAAGCACAGACACCATTTGGGGTAAGAAACAGCTTGGCACAGTCAGGAAACAAATAACCCAGTAGGCTAAGAGTAGGTATAAAGGTATGCAAGTTACATTGGCAGAGCATGCACAGCCTCTTTAGCTGTGAGGGGAGTTTGAGCAGGGGTGTGACTGGCTACCCAGCTCACTCAGTGTGGTTTGTGAAGAAAGCTGTGATAGGCAGGCAGGAAGAAGCAGTAGCATCCAAGGGAGAAGTAGTAATACCTAACCTGAGAGAGTTGCAGCACAGTTGGAAAAGAGCAGGGGTATGGTTGACTAAATAGCCTCATTGGAGTTAGGTAAGTAATTGCCTGAGGGGGAAAATAGAAAAGCCACTGAGAATTCCTCACAGGTAAAGGAAGACTTTGAGGCATTTCCTGTGACTGTTCTTTGTCACAGGGTCTTGCACCTGCTAGGTGCATACACATTTCCACTTCAACCACATCCTATCCCCTCTTGTGATTGTTGTTTGTAACCTGTGTATTTACTACTTGCACTCTTTTTGCAGTGCTGGGGAGTGAACTGAGGGTCTTGCGCATGCCAGCCAGGCAAGTGCTCTATCACAGAGCTGTAGCCCCAGGCATGCATTCCTTTTGTATGTGTTAAAATATAAGTGTTTTGGTTTAAAAATATGTAACATAGAAAAATTGCTTCTATATTTTTGGCAATAATCAATTAGATGGAAAAGTCTGGTAAAAGCGTAGAATATTTTCAGGAGTGAAAACTCAGTAGTTTTAATTTTCCTGTTTTTACTGGCTCTGTTAATGAAATACAAATGGCTGGAATCCATGGAGTCATCCAAAAAGGCTTGTAGGGCATCTTTCTTTCTTTTTTTGTCAGTACTGGGGTTTGAACTCAGTGCCTCTTGCTTGCTAGGCAGGCACTCTACCACTGAGCCACTCCAACACCACACCTACTTTTAAGCAC